CCGTCAGCCAGGCGTCGTCCGAGGATTCGTCATCATTTTCTGACTCGGACTCCTCAGGCGGCACCGTCCGGGAACTGCTGCTGCTTTCGTCGGCATCGGCAGACCGGGCTCGCTTTCGCTTCTCGGAGGTCTGACTCGACTTGGATTTCGTCGATGTTGTCTCTTTCGGCTTGCTTCCGCCTTTGCCTCTAGGCTTTCGCGCTGCCCCCTTTTGTTCACGTCTCTGCTTTGCTCTCGCCGCACTGGCAGCACGTAATGCTGCTTGTTGCAACAGCAGCTCTCGTCGCTTGGCATCTAGTGCCTCCTGGGTGTGCTCCTCTTCTGATACGACCAACAACTTGGAGAGGGAGCCGGCAGGATCCCCAAGCCGCAACACACTCAAGGACCAGTCTTGCGCTTGCTTGGATAGATGCACAGCCAGGGCGCGATCGCTCCAAAATGCAGCTTTCTGGGCTTCCCGCGGCCGGCCCGGCAAGGGGTCCCGCTCCAAACACACAGGCAGCCACAGCTCTGCAGGCACGCCGACCGCATCGCCTGAGTCGCCTGCGTCCAGTTGCAGCATGGCACACTCCGGAGGCTTCTCACGTGTCGCAAAACAAACAGCGAAAGCCATCGCAACCTTTTGGCAGACGGACTTGAACCGCAATACCAGTACGCCCGAACCAAGCTTGTCCGGGGTTGGGTAATGTGCCTGCACCAAGGTGCAGAGGTTGGCATGCAGACGCGTCTTGGCTGCGCTTTGTGCCGACGTAAGGCCCGCCTCGCACATGCCAGGCGGGCACCGGGGAAACAAACGGACTGCCTGCTCCAAGGGGTCTGACACGTTCTCGTACTCCCCCTCCTCCATACTGTGCTCCGTCCTCCACTGGGCACCAACCTCCTGGAAAGAACTGCCTTCCATGACGGAGTTCAAAAACTCCTCCTGCAACGGCCACTGGCCACGCAAGGAAGCCATCCCCCATGGCCCGCCTGTCTTCTCCTCCTCCTGTTCTGCGGCCATCGCAAAAGCTCTGGCTCTGGCATTTCTTTCCTTGGCTTGGCGGGAGTACTGCGACTGGTCCTCCTTGCTCAGCTCGGACCACTGCTGGCGCACTTCGCTCAGAAAATTAGAGCACGAGGCGCCCCCCCCTTGCAACACGTTTTGCTGCCTGTTCCTGCACTCTTGGGTGAATACGTGGAGGCCTGTCAGTCGCATGCCCTTTACCGCTGACTCCTGCCAAACCGGGCGGCAGTTGGAACCCCGCTTCTCCTTTGCTTGCTCCCGCTGTCGCCAGCGATCTACGAACTCCTTCAGGCAGCTTGTCACGTGCTTGGCCACAAGCATCGGGAGCCGGCACGTGGCTGCTCGTCTGGCGTTCCAAGCCCCGTAGCTGGCAAAGCGCCGCTCGACAAAGGTGGAAGTAACCACCAAACGTGTGAAACAACACGACAAGAATTCGCGCGTCGACTCCGATGCCAGAGTCTCTGGGTCCGGCACCAACGACTTTAGCTTCTGGGTGAAAACCTGGTCCAAGCAACAATCCCGCTCTGCGAGCAATCGCACGGCTGCACAGCATCGTTCGTCCTCAGTTTCGCCCCAAACAATTGGCCACATCTTCCACGGGTACGCTTGCCAAGGCAGCACAAGCTTGCGCCACAATTGACCGGCCGCCAGCAGCACGAGCTGCTGAAAAGCCCGCTGGCGAGCAGGTGGCCATTGCGTGCACGGGCCGTGAAAGAAACACACGCAGCGCAATCGCTCGTTGGGCACCCTGAGAAGCTCGAACAGCTTGTCGATGACATCCGCTGCCGGGTTCAGTGCCGGCACACAGAACTGCTTCAGGATGCGACCTGGTTCTTCATTTGTCGAATCCGCTTCGGAACACCACTTTGCATGCTTGAAAAGCTTCCAGTGCAAGACCAGCATCGGGCTCGCGATCACCAGCCACACAAGATTGCCCCAGCTGGCATCTTTATCTGCCACAAATTCGACAGACTTCACTCGCCGCTTGTCCGCAACCCGCTTCCAAGCTGCTCTTTCGTCCAGAGGAAGCCCAACAGCCTCGGCCTGCTCGTCCACTGAATCTTCACCATGCACCCGCTCTGCGAGCCCCCCAAACTCTTTTTGCATGGCGTGCTTTAGAAGTCCGCAAAAATGGGACATCAACGTCACCCGCGCAATGGTCGGCCCCAGGCGCGTCCACTTGTTCAGCGCCGGCTGGGGCAGGGGCGCTACGATGCAGTCTGAAACCAGCTCCTCAGCCTTCTTCAGAAACTCATCGCGTCCACCACAGCAATTGCGCCCTCCGCACACGTGAACCGGTGCTCCTGACAAGGCAGGCAAGTAGTTTAGGCTTGGGGTTTAGGGATTGTTTGGGAGTTTGGGGTTTAGGCGGTCTAGGCAAGGCGAGGTTGGAGTTGGCAGGAGGGGGGTGTTCACAGGCTGAAACTGAGAGGGCGCAGGATACGAGTTTTACATGCACTTAAGTAAGTTTAAACATCAAACTCCGGAAACGCACTGCTGGGTCTGAGGACACTGCATAAATCTTAAATGGTCCTAAATCTCAAATCGGCAAACCCCAGACTCGAAGCCCTCGAGACGTTTTTGCCGCGGGTGTCTCCACGGGAGCTTTCTGCCGGCAAAGCGGAGCGCTGGGACAGGGCAACTATAGTCTTATATAATTTTTAAGTCTTATAGTCCCGGGATCTGCAGTACACTACAGAGGCTTGAGAGCTTAGGGCTTACTTGGGGCTTGTGTGATGACATCTACTTATACAACCTGTAGCAAAGCCCCTGTCACCCTGTCCCAAACACCCGCCTGCACGCTGTGAAACTTGAGCTGAAGCTACGACCTAAGCCCGGTCAGCGACCATCTGCTTGGCGCAGATTTTGGCAGAACTTGACCCGGTCAGCGACCAGAACCCGGACGTTTTTATTGCTTGGCAGAACTTGACCCGGTCAGCGACCAGCGACCAGAACCCGGACGGCTCTCTGATTATTCTTCACCACCAACTCCTTTGTCCGGTAGTTCTGTACCTGCGCGAATAATCGCGCTCGTCGCTCGCCGGCGCCGGTGTCAAGGACACGGCCCACCAGTGGTCCCGGAGAACTTTGGCAAACGCGACGTTACTGCGCAATGCCAAGTCCAGGGCGCTCTTCCCCAGGTGGTTTGCGAGCCCCAGGTGATGCTCGACTGCGCTCCACCCGCCTTTGGTGTAGAGCGCCCACAAAACTTGTTCCGTTAAGGCATGATTGCCCTTTGGAACCGCCAGATGTGTAACGCTGGCACCAGTTCCGCTCTGGATATTGAGCGCATCCACTGGCATGTGCTGCAACAGCAGCCGAACGATCTCTGCCTCCCGGTCAGCGACCGCCTCGTCCCTGGCTTTCGGCATGTTCGCCAAGGACATAAGCGCTGTCCACTTCGGCGGCTGTCTGGAGTAGGTCGTGGCCACTGCCAGACTTGGCGCGACTTCCAGCAGATACGCTGTCAGGCCCAGCCACCGGTTGCGTGCTGCCACGTGCAAGGGTGTGGCGCCCGCTGCGTCTTTCATGGCCTCTATGGTGCTTGGGGGCAGTTGGCGCAAGGCGGCCTCCGACGCTTCTGCATCGTTGGCTTGAAGGGCAGCCCACACCCGCTCAGCGAGCTGCTCCTGCTGGCTTCCGCTGCTCGTGGCCTGGGAGGAAGCCAGAGCCTCGATCTGTGCTGACAGCCTCTTTTGCTCGTCCAGCAAAAGCTCCATCAGCTTCACACTTTGCGCATCGCCTGCACTTAAGGCCTGCGAGGCGGCCTCCACGTCCAGCTCCTCATCGTCGCCATAGTCAACTTCGTCTTCGAAGGCCGCCACAGCTTCTGCTGTGCCAGCATTCTTCGCAGCTTCAAACAGCCGCCCACGCATGGCGATCAACGTCTCCATGACCTCCCGCACCTTCGAGACGAAGTTGCCCCCAAATCGCTCTTCCATTTTTGGTTTCGTCTGCACCGGGGCAGTGTCTGAGGGCTGCTCCGGGGGCTCCTTTCGCTTCTCACCCGCGTCAAGGGTCTCCTTTTTTTCGCTCGCTTTTCCCGCTGAGCCAGCGGCACCTGGCCCCTCTGTCAACTTGACACTGCTCGCCTTCCAGGGCTTCAAGTCAACCCGGGCCTTCTCGGCCTGAGACGGCTCCAGCTTTAGGCCGCTTGAAGCGGAGGCAGGGGCAGCTCCACGTCCTGTCTCAGTCTTCAACTCCTCTTTCGCAGGTGCTTTTTCAGGAGGCCGCTGCTCCTTGAACTCTTTTTTCAGAGGCGCTGCTTCAGGAGGCCGTTGCTCCTTCAACTCTTTTTTCACAGGCGCTGCTTCAGGAGGCCGCTGCTCCTTCAACTCTTTTTTCACAGGCGCTGCTTCAGGAGGCCGCTCCTCTGCCTTTGCCTTGGCGACTCCAAGACCCGCTGAGCCAGCAGCCTTTGACTTTGTCGTGCTCGCTTCACCACCCGCTGAGCCAGCGTCTGCACTGTCTGCTCCGCTGCTGACAGGCTGAGCCAGCTGGGGGGGCTTCGACGGCATCTTTTTGGTTTCCACCCACTTGCCGCCCTTGCCGCCTTTACCGCCTTTCTGTCCCGCTGCGCCAGCCTGAGGAGGAACCGCAGGCTCTGGAGGCCGCGACGAACCCGGTGGTGGCAGCACNNCCAGCTGCTGAAATTCTGACAGCGTGAGCACAGAATTCAAGCAGATCGCTGGCAGCTTTGCCGCCTGCCTCGCCTTGATGACGTACGCCGTCTTCTCGTCGACGAACTGAAACGGAGTCGGCAACATCTCAGCGTCCCTGTGCGGTGGCCTACTTGAGAGGTCCGACAGGGATCGCAACCTCTGACGTAGGCCGCCACCGTCTTTGCTGGCTGACCAGTGAGCACCATCAGGATCAGCACTATCAGCATGGCCGATCGGTGCGCCCCGTTCCGGCAGCAAACGACGTAGCGGTAGCCGCCCTTCATCATGTTTGCTGCCACCTCCACGGCCGTGTTCATGACCTCCTCGAAGCTGACGTTGCCGCGGAGCACTCCTGTTCCGTCGTGGGTCGGCAAGAAGTAGAAGCGCTGTTTGTCTTTTGTTTGGTCTCTCTGGAAGCCCGCCGAGTAGATGTGGGTGATTCCATGAGCCTCCAGCAGCGCAGGGTTGGAAGTCGCCTGCACGGACCCCAGCCACAGCTGCCCTCGCGAGTTGTACCTTGACAAGTCCAGCACCAGGTGCATCGGGCATTTCTTGTTGTAGCTGTCCCTCGCGAGGCGCAGAGCCACGTTCGCAGTCGGGCTAAACTGGTCCTCCACGAGGTTGCTGCGCAGGTGCTTCAGAGACAGCTTGTTCGAAGCCTGCAGATCATATTGAGCCAGCACGGCTTCGCGTGGATCCAGCTGCCCGTGCAAGCTGGCCATACTCCCGCTCTGCGAGCTGTTTCCGTGAACGCTTCAGTTTCACCCGCTCTGCGAGCCCCCTTTTCAAGGCCCTTTTTCCACGCCACCCTGACCCGCTCTGCGAGCGCCCTTTCACTCCAGCCTGCCCGTCCGCGGGCCGCCGCCGCCGCCAGGCCCCAAGCCGCCGCAACGCCGCTGCACGCTGCAAGGCTCGCTCGACTCTACTACAACCTATGGTCCTAGGGTAGGTTAACTAGTAGTAGTAGTAGTAGTAGTAGTAGTAGTAGTAGTTGTTGTTGTAGTAGAAGTAGCAGCAGCAGCAGCAGCAGTAGTAGTAGTAGTAGTAGTAGTAGTAGTAGACTTGGACTTAGACTTAGAGCTGTCACTTACACTGTCACACTCTCAGTTGACTTCAGTCTCAGGACTCTCAGGCTACCTCGCCCTGGCAGCCGCCGCAGCACTGAAACAAGGCGATTGACTACACGGACCTCGAAACCGAAATCACCTCTGGTACCTGCGACAAACCGCCTCTCCTCACAGTACCTGACCAACCCTCAACTTAAGACCACTTAAGACTGCAACTGCAAAGGAAACTCAAACCAACCCCCGAACGGCCCAAACACAAGCCTTCACTAAACCCTAGCCCTAGCTGCCCTAGCCGTAGCCGTAGCCGCTAGCCGCCCAAGCCCGCTCCCCCCTCGTCTGTCCTGTCCACGGGCCCTGGAAGAAGTCGAGCAGCTGGTCGAGGGGGTGTGCCTTCTTCTCGGTTTTCTCCTCGTCCAACGTCTCGGGCTCCAGACACGCCTTGCACAACCGCACCAACTCCTTGGCGCTTGCCGCAGCCTCACGCCACTCACGCAAGTTGGCTGCCGGCCTCTCGCCCACCCGGTCTGCGACCTGCTCCAGTCGTTTCCTGACATGTTTGC